TCCCCAATAGAGGGCATGAAGGAGGCAGCCAATTGAAATTCCTCTCTCTCCCTTCATCTCTAAAACCCCCTCCCAAAAAACGTATTTTAAAAAAGGACAAAAAAAGGACAAGTTTTATTAGCTCATTTGAAAAGGCACAGGATGAGTCTGAATGCAGAAGCCATATTATACAGAATGAGCAGTTTCAACCATACTAAAAGTAGAGAAGCAAATGACTATACTCACAGAAAAAAAAAAGTACAAGGAATATAAAGTGGAAATGCTAAAAAGAAAAGTTTGGAAGGCATTATTTAATACTAACGCCAAGTCTAAATAATGTAATTGGAAATTGTAGAAGGTTATAAAGTCATTCTACTAAAAACAGTACTCCTTACATGATTTTATCAACACCATACAAGAGAAACGCACCTTTCCCTTTATCTGGACAGAGGATTTCTAAAATCAAATGCAGTTTACTGATTTTAAAATGATAGTTTTTCGTCTTTTGATAAATCATATCAAATAGTATTATTCCCAGAATTTATGGTCACACATAAATTCTGTTAAAACTGGTGATTGTTACTTAAATTCAGTAGGATACTCTATAAGGGAGGTAAGAGAGAAGGAAAACTGGTATGATAGTGGTGAGGAATAAAATACAGGACTTTAGGCAAAGAAAACACAGAATCAAGCTTAGAATTTATTAGTGAAGAGAAAAGCAATTGCTAGGGAAGATAAATATTCAGGAAAAAAATTCACTATGTGCTAACAAAATTTTCCTTCAAATGAGGTAGGGGAGAAGAACCCCTTTTAAAATCCATTAAAAATTAGCAATTTTGAAGCTGAGCAATCAACTTGTGAGGATCTTCACACACTGAACTCTCTTACAGCAAAAATGGCCTGCAAAACTTCCTTGGGTCCTGACCGGTTTGGCTCAGTGGATAGAGCATCGGCCTGCTGATTGAAGGGTCCCAGGTTCGATTCTAGTCAAGGGCACATATCTTGGTTGCAGGCACATCCCGGGGGTGGGGGGGGTGGGGGTGGGGTGTGTGTGTGTGTGCAGGAGGCAGCTGATCGATGTTTCTCTCTCATTGATGTTTCTAGCTCTCTATCCCTCTCCCTTCCACTCTGTAAAAAAATCAATAAAATATATTTTAAAAAAACTTCCTTGGGACCTTTTATTATAATTTATATAATTTTGTGGTTTTCAAAATATCTTTGATAATAGTTACCACATGCTATTTAAAAAATAAATCACTGGGGAGAACCAAGATGGTGGTGTAAGTAAATGCCACTCGCTGCCTCCCACAACCACATAAAAATTACAAGTAAAATACAGAACAACCATCATTCAGAACAGCCTGAAATCTGGCTGACTGGAAGTCCTACAACTACAGAAGTAAAGAAGAAAACACACTGAGACTGGTAGGAGGGGTGGAATGTTTTGAACCTGGTGTTTTTGTTATTGGGCAGGATTATCTCCAAGGCCTCTCGGGAGAAGCAGGGGGTCCCAGCCTCACACCAGGCCAGGGTTCCAGAGCTGGGAAGAGAAATCCCTGTAACTTGGGGCTGTAAAAACCAGTGGGGATTGTGGCTGAGTGAAATGGAAGCTGCTGAAGTCCCTTGCTGATTCTGGGGAAGATAGCTGTCATGTGATAAGCTGCCTTATGGAGAGACCTGCTTGGCAAGGAAAGGAAGTTTGCCAAGAGCCAGCAAGGACCTGAGGCAGAATCTGACCCTTTCAAGCTTGAAAATAACTGCAACCCTGGCCAACACCTTGACTGTAGACTTGTTACAAACCTCGAGCCAGGGTCACACAGCTAAGCTGTGCCCACATTCCTAATCAACACTGTCAGAAAGTAAATGTTTGTTGTTTTTTAAATACTCAACAAGTTGATAATAGTAAGATAGAGAGACGGTTACTATATTACCAAATTTGCCTTAAAAATCTAAGAATATAATTGCATTAAAAATAAAATGTCTTCCAATATCTGTGATAACTTTTAACAATTCAAAAAATCTATAATAATAAAAGCATAATATGCAAATCGACTGAACCGAACAGCAGAACGACCGTCTGGACAACCACGCTATGACACGCACTAGTGCCAGGCGGGTGCCATGCGTTTGGTTGGGGGGCCCCGCCATTACCCCACGATCGCCCCACAGAGGGAAGACCAGGCCACCCTCTGAGGGACGATTGATTGGGGGGGGGGGGGAAGGGAGTTTCCACGATTGATCATCCCAAAGAGGTAGGCCCAGGCCACCAGCCGGCTGGGCGATCGATCGGGAGGGGTGGGAGGTGGGGGCGTGCACTCCGTGATCGCCCCAAAGAGGGAGGCCCAGGCCACTCTCTGAGCCGTGACCGATCATAAAGCCCTGGCTGGGTGGGCAGGGCCTCCCTGTGCTGGGCAATCGCTAGTCCCAGCGGTGCTGCAGTGTGTGGGCAGGGCCTCCCTCTGCAGGGCGATCGATCTGGGGGCCCCCCAAGATCAATCACCCCACAGAGGGAGGCCCAGGTCACTGGTCAGCGACTGCCCCGCAGAGGGAGGCCCAGGCCAGCCAAGCGATCGCACCCCATGCCTGTCACCTGCAGAGGGAGGCGACCGGTTGTGGGGGGGGAGGGGGGCAGCGCTGCACAGATGGCAAGCAGTGGCAGCAGTGGGGGCAGGGCCAGCTGCCAGCAGCCAGGGGAAGGAAAGCTCTGATAGGCCCTAATTGCCGGCCAGGCCTAGGGACCCTAGACGAGGGGTCCGGGGTGCGAGAGGGCTCTGGTCGGGTGAGGGAAACCCCCCTCCCCCATGCACAAATTTCGTGCACTGGGCCTCTAGTGGAATATAACTTAGTAGGCAGTTAGACACACATGAACAGATAGGCCAGGTACAGAAGGTCACCAGGGTGGAAAGCCCTAGGTACCTAGCAACAGGCAATACTGGGAAAACAAGGACCTCACCCCCAGGGTAACCTTTCTTCCTCTAGAACAGCGGTTCTCAACCTGTGGGTCGTGACCCCTTTGGCAGTCGAACGACCCTTTCACAGGGGTCGCCTAAGACCATCCTGCATATCAGATATTTACATTATGATTCATAACAGTAGCAACATTACATTTATGAAGTGGCAATGAAAATAATTTTATGGTTGGGTCACAACATGAGGAACTGTATTTAAAGGGCCAGAAGGTTGAGGACCACTGCTCTAGAATATTGCTGGTGATGCAGTTTAGACCATGTGACCTTTCATATTGTTAGTCAAGTGGTTGGGACACTCCCCTGACCTTTCCTCCCCTGGCATGTGGCTATTCACACAATAGACCCCCCTGGAGGAGAAACAAGGGCCAGAGTGCCCTCAAGTGAATCCCATTTAAACCCTTGCACACCCACTCCCTTCAGCATTAACCCACCCCTAGGGATAACATTTAAACCACAGTTGTGTTTCAGCTCAAGGCCCAGAAAAGGAGCCAAACCAGACAAGTGACACCAGGCTGACATCAGGACCAGATGCATGGACTAATAACCCCCTGCCCCAGCGCTGACCAATCAGTAGAGACCACCACCCTAAAAGGAAACACCTGGAAAGCTGATGAATATTCTACTGGGATCCTTCCCTAAGACCTCCAGATAAATAACCTCAAGACAGAGGATCAAGTAAGGCTCTCCCTCCAGGGAGAACATCAAAGCCTCCCCAATTCTCTCTTTCACCCACCTTTTTTCCCTCCCCCCCCCAGGTGTTTTACCTTTATCTTTCTCTCTCCTAAGCTCCAAGGGCCCTTCTTTTGTCTCTGTAACTTGTTTCCTGAGCCCATTTATTTTACCGCCCACTTCTTGTACTTCTGTAATTTTCTAAATACACTTTCTCTTGCCCTGGCTGATGTGGCTCAGATGGTTGGAATGTTGTCGACCCTATTCACCTAAAAGGTTGCGGGTTTGATTCCCTGTCAGGGCATATACCTAGGTTGTGGAGGCACACACAGGAGGCAACCTATCGATTTTTCTCTCTTACATCAATGTCTGTCTGCCTCTCTTTCTCTTCCTTCCCCTCTAAAATCAGTAAAACACATTTGCTCAGGTAAGGATTAAAAATATATATATAAATAAATCTTCTCTTATAGTTTGAGTCTTGGCTGGAACTCTTTCTTAGCCAGAACTCAAGTACTGAGGTTGCTGAACTGAGGTCCGGTCTGACTCCATCAGTCTAACACCTGGTGCCGTTATCACTGCCAGCATAACAATTTAAAGTAAATGGCAACATTTCTATATTTGTGAACATCTGGTAATTCGAGTTATAGAATGTCTAGTCATTCGTTACAAAAATTCTAATTATTTATCACCCTTACTTGATTATTTTGAAGATTACTTATCCAGGACTCAATAACGTGGGGTTCCTTCTAAAGTCAGAGCCTTTTCTAATAGAAATACATTTTCAGATCAAATATCCTAGAATCCAAAAAAATCTATTCAACTCTGAGAAGACACTCTAGTGTGACATGAGCCTAAAAAATTTAAAACCAGAAAGCTTATTTAGTTCTTATATTTTAAGGAAAACAAGGAATTTCTTTTGATTCCAAATTAGAAAAAGATTATAATTAGCTTATTGGGATAATATATTCTCTTAAAATTTTATATGTAACAGACTGTCAAATTAAAAACATACACATATTTACTGATTTCAGAGAGGAAGGGCGAGAGATAGAAACATCAATGATGAGAGAGAAACACTGATCAGATGCCTCCTGAAAGCCCCACACCGGGGATTGAGCATGCAACCCCTTGCAACCTGGGCATGAGCCCTGACCTGGAATTGAACCATGACCTCCTGCTTCATAGGTTGACGGTCAACAAATGATCCATGCTGGCTGGGCTCAATTTTGGTTTTAGACAGCATTACAACTAAGTAAGAAGGGTTTTCATACATGGGCTGATGTCTCAAATTTTATCATAGCCATGAAGTGAATAGTTATTTTGCTGTATCATCTTAGATTTCCACACTATTATAAATATTGTCTAGTAATAAGACAAACATACCTTCTATCAAAGCCTGGAACAGAGTAACTTACCCTGTCATGAAGAGTCCAACCAACATATTTTAGGTAACTGTCATTTAGGAAAGCATCACTATACATTTTCATCCATACTCCAATTTCTTCAATACAAATGGCTCTAATCTCAGCAATAGCATCACTAGAGAAGGAAAAAAGAAACAAAAACCTAAATAATATAAAAAGCCAGAACATACTCCATACTCACTTTTAGCAAGCAATAAATACTAACATTCATAATACTGTATTTAACATCTGCAGGCCTCCAACTTGAGTATCTTCTATTCTTTAATATGGCTCCTGTAGAATAAAAACTACCAATACCAAACTAGAAAATAATGCTTCTGGAAACCATCTTATTTCAGTTCATATATCCATTGAACTAGGCCAGTGGTCGGCAAACTGCGGCTCGCAAGCCACATGCGGCTCTTTGGCCCCTTGAGTGTGGCTCTTCCACAAAATACCATGTGCGGGCGTGCACGTACAGTGCGACCGAAACTCGTGGCCCATGTGCAGAAGTCAGTATTTTGTGGAAGAGCCACACTCAAGGGGCCAAAGAGCCGCATGTGGCTCGAGAGCCACAGTTTGCCGAGCTGCAGTTTGCCGACCACTGAACTAGGCTATTGGAGTTTTCTGAAAGCCTCACAACTATTATGAAGTCAACAGACATGTTAAAATCTTCTGAGGAAATCAGAGTACCAACATCCAAATACAGAATAATGTAGAACTCAAAAATTGTTGCTCTAAATAGCTGTGAATCTTTCTAAACTGGCACACATGTAATAAATTAAAGCGATTTTTATGACAAAGACACAAACTAAGATTATCTATTAGGCAAAATTGCAGAAGCAAATATTATTTGAAAATGTATGATATTTTTCAAAACCCAAAACCTTAATGTAATTGCACAGGACAGAATTTACATTTAGTCACAATGGAAACAACCTTGGTGACTACACTTTGAAGTGGTGATGGAACCAACCCCAAAAGTCAGGTTTCTAGGCTCCATGCCCAGATGGCTTCACCTCACTATAAGCATCCAATATGATATCCTGAAATTTTCCTACTCTCAAATCTGTGAATCATGAGCAAATACATTTATTTACCTAATCTTTCAACAGGTTATTAGCTTCTGGCTAAAAAAAAAAAAAAATCATACTAAATACAATAAAGTGAATCCCAACTTTCTTTTGTAGATTGAGCATCAAAGTAAATTTAAGATAATTTTAAGTTATCCAATTAATATAAAGCAATCATCTATCAATTAATTAATTTGGCAATAATTTAGCTGAAATTTTAATATTAAATAAGGAGCTTTTCTTAGTTGCTGTTTTTGTGACAAAATGAGTATTGGCATTCTAATATTTCATTCTCTGCTCTAATTAATCTCAGTTACTTTTAAGTCATTCCTTAAAAATAAAAATGTGAGAAACTTTCTCTTTCAAAGCTACACTACCAATCACAATCTTTAGTTTTCCTGTATTTGTTGTTGTTGTTAATACCTTTTCTTCATGGAGAGATTCTATAGCATAGAGGCTAATGGTACAGGCTCTGGAGCAAGACATCCTGAGTTCAAATCCTGGCTCTGCTATTTACTAGCTGTGTGGCTTTAGGTAAGTTACATCCTCTTTCTTAGATTTCATCATCTGTAAAATAGGGATAATAACTGTACTTGGAGCTCACAGAGTTATTGTGAGAATTAAATCACTAATAAAAGTAACATTTAGAACTGTGCCTGGCACCTACTAAACCTTCCATAACTGTTTACTATTATAATTTTTAAGTGCCATCAACCTAGTCATTTATAGACAACTAGAGGCCCGGTGCACGAATTTGTGCACGGGTGGGGTCCAGCAGGCCCGCCCTAATCGGGGCCAATCAGGCAGGCGGGCCATGGGGAGGGGCCGTGGGAGGTTGGCCAGCCAGCCCCGCCCCTGATCAGGGTGGGTGGGACAATAAGGGGCAGGGCCAGCAAGGGGAGGGGCCGTGGGCAGTTGGTGGGCCCGCCCTGCCCCCTGATCGAAGGGACAATTTGCATATTAGCCTTTTATTATATAGATTATATAGACCAGGGGTCCTCAAACTACAGCCCACGGGCCACATGTAAATACAAATATTGTATTTGTTCCCGTTTTGTTTTTTTACTTCAAATAAGATATGTGCAGTGTGCATAGGAATTTGTTCATAGTTTTTTTTTTAAACTATAGTCCGGCCCTCCAACAGTCTGAGGGACAGTGAACTGGCCCCGTTTAAAAAGTTTGAGGACCCCTGATATAGACAATAGTTTATAAAAAGTAGCTTTACTACAAATGCAAAATGATGTTCCTAAACCATGATAATACTGAACATAAATGGCTCAAGGACATTCCTTACTTTCTAAATATGAAAAATTTCAGATATAAAAGTTATAGAAACAATATAATAAAAATATTTCAACTGTAATATTTTAGTTAACTTAGCTCAATGCTTACTCTATACCTCTTATTGATGCAATTCCCTCCCCAAGAATAAATGACTATTCTTGATTCAATGACTATCATTCCCATTTGTCTCTTCATGCTTTAACTTTATATGTATTGTTTTATGTATTTGAAATTTTACATAATTAATATCCTATAGATACCCTCCTCCAATTTGCTTTTTCACAAATTAGACAGGTTTTTTTTTCCTTTTTAATCCTTACCTGAGGATATATTTTAGATGAAGGGGGAGAGAGAGAGAGAAACATTGATTGGTTGCCTCCCAACCAGGGATCAAATCCACAACCTAGGTATGTGCCCTGACTGAGAATTGAACCTGCAACCTTTTGGTGCATGGGACAATGCTCTAACCAACAAAGACACCCAATCAGGGCCAAACTATGCAGTTATACATACTGATTCACATAGCTCCAGTTCCAATATATTAATTTTAACTGATGTTTAGTAGTCCTTTCTACAAATATTTTACAAATTATTTATACATTCTCTCATTGACAGACATCTAGGTTGTTTGTAAGTTTTTGCTTTATTAACAATGAATGCCATGAACATTCTTAGATAGTCTCCTGTGCACACGTGTGAGTTTCCTTAGGGCAGTGTTTCTTAAGCAGTGCATCACTACCTATGGGCATATTATGAAATAAACTGAGCGGTAACAAAAATATAAAAGTATTTAGGATAGAAAATATTAAAACAATTCACATGTGGCAAGGCACTAAGTTTTTTTTGTGGAAGACTGTGTACATGATGTAGGACATGGTCAAGTAAGTCTGCAAGGCACTGTTTTTATAGTACCTGAGAAGTGAAATTACAAGGTGAGAAAGAACACACATTTTCAGTTTTAACCAATTTCTCCATAAATCAATGCTTCACACATCCTTGCCTGTCACTTGGTATCATTCTACTATTTAATATAAATTTCCATATTTGTAAAGTGCAAATTCATATACTTTGTCTTCTACTGGCTGTCCAAATAAAAACAAACAAAAAAAATTGCAGCAGCAAAAACAAAACAACCCCCCTCCGAAAAACAAAACACAACCTCTAAACACCCAAATCACAACGTTTTATTAGCTTTCTCAGTCCTAGTCATCACCCAGAGATCCACTGGATTTATTCTCTGCTGTACTCTATTACCTTTAAAAAATTAATTCTAAAACAAACAACAACAAAAAACCGAGACACAAAAAAATAGGCTACCTTTTTTATCACACAATTTCAGAAGCTCAGACTGAGGACAAGATGAATACGCATGGCACACTAATTAAAACTATAGTGACGACTAAGCATGGTAGCTTCACATATACAGAGCTCATTTATTACTATTGGCATCACCATTACCAATGATATTGAGATTATGGGTGGCTAATTCCTAAGGCTAGAGAATATAAAGGTTTAGCTTTATTTCAGAAGAAAAATCTTTTTCATAATCTTTTTTTATAACCATCTCTAAGTCTAATTTCTAATACCTTTTTATCTTGCCTACTAGACTTCTAAAGAGCCTTGGAACATGGCTTTTTCTGTATGCATCACCAACATTTTAACAGCTTTCTTGACCTCTAGGAACTAACATTCTATTTAAGTAGATGAAGTATAAGTAAAACCGCAATGTATTCTAAATATTCCCTGACTTAATTACAATATAACTTTTGATAGTACAGATATTTTTCTCATGCAGGTTAAGTCCTCCAATCCTTGGTTTTCATATAAAATTTATCTTTTAACAACTTAATCTTCATTTCCAATGGCCTCACTCCATTTAGAAAAGTAATGTTTAGCTGCAGATATCTGGGAGATTCCAAAGCAAAGATTAAAGTAGGGAGCAAAAAAGTAAGACAAGATGGAAGGTTTAAGACAATCATAACATAGACTAATTTTCATAGCATTCTGGTATTGAAGACTTGAAATTAATAATTAAAAATGAAGTCAGGATACATTTTACCTAAAAATTCAAACAAATAAAAACAAACTAGAAAAGAATAATTCTGGGGCAAAATCCTTTGTTGTTCATGCTATTTTATAGCATAAAAGAATGATAATGTTCATTTATATGAAAAAAGTATCTAATTTACTGATCCTCACAGTTAATGTCTTTTTTTTAGGAGGCATGAACCTTTACTATCTGGACTTAAGCTTTCATTTTGCATTACTTTCTTGGAAGATGGAATTTAAATATTTTCTGCTTACAACAAAAAGAAATTTAACTTTAATGAATTTTAATTAAATGTTTCTTATAGTACCCTTCACAGGTATCTTTCTAGTAAGAAAGCTGACTAAATTCAAATGACAATATACATTTCAGAGAATAACTCTTGGCTAATATGGCTGTTTTGACACTTACAATTATCTCTCACATACAAGGAATCTCATGAGAGCTCTAGAGTGAGAAATAATTACCAGTTTCAAGAAGGTTCACTATCTAAATTGTAGCACACAATGTATTCATGCCTCAACCAATTTTGTCACTAATATTTGGCTAAAGAAATTACATTTTCCAAATAGAACTATAGAGAACTTTTTCTGTTGGAAATAGCCTAGGGGAGAAAGAAACAGTTGAAGGAGTTACTTAAAAGTCATACTGTATCCTTTATTAGACTGTAACAACAACTTAAGAATAGAAATTATAACTTAAATAGAGATGATTAAAATAAATGTTATTTTA